TGGGTATAGTGTTGACTTCAGTTGATCAGTATTTCAAAATGGATTTGAATTTGTGGGTGAAAGTGAGATGGTGCATGTGCACCTGTCTTGAGTCCCATCCCACCGTGCTCAGTTGACCAGGAAGGAGTGTCTAGGAATAGTCAGTACCGATCTGAGTATGATGCCTGTGGTATAGTGTTGACTTCAGCTGACCAGTATTTTGAAATGATTTTGAATTTATGGGTGGGAGTGAGATGGTGCATGTGCACCTGTTTTGAGTCCTATCCCACCATGCTCGGCTGACCAGGAAGGTGTGTCTAGGAATAGTCATAACTGATCCGAGTATGATGCAGTGAATTTAGTGATGACTTTAGTTGACCAGGATTGCAAAATGATTTTGCGTTTGTGGGTGGAAGTAAGATGGTGCATGTGCACGTGTCTTGTGTCCTGTCCCACCAGGCTCGGTTGACCAGGAAGGAGTGTCTATGAATTGTTAATACCAATCTGAGTATGATGCATTGGGTATAGTTTTGACTTCAGTTGACGAGTATTTTGAAATGATTTTGAATTTATGGGTGGAAGTGAGATAATGGTGCACGTGCACCTGTTTTGAGTCTTATCCCAACATGCTCGGCTGACCAGGAAGGTGTGTCTAGGAATAGTCATAACTGATCCGAGTATGATGCAGTGAATTTAGTGTTGACTTTAGTTGACCAGGATTGCAAAATGATTTTGCGTTTGTGGGTGGAAGTGAGATGGTGCATGTACACCTGTTTTGAGTCCTATCCRACCTTGCTCGTTTGACCAGGAAGGAGTGTCTAGGAATTGTCAAGGGTGATCTGAGTATGATGYAAAGCGTAACAATGMTGACTTCAGTYGACTGTAATATCAGAGGATGARCAAGAGAATGTCACTAAATCACATGGAAAAATATGTTTTAGTGAATAAAGACAAAAATGGGTATTACTTTAAAATACCAGCTAATGGTTATACTAATATTTCGTTTACTGTCGACTACCACAAGGGGTGGGTTGGAGTAGGGGTTGTTTATTATTTTAGCCTTTGCATCGAGTCTATAGGGTATGAGTAGAGGGTACATGGATTGTATTGTAGCCACATAGCAATGAAGCCTCTCAGGAATTAGAGGAACGATAGGATGCATTTCAAAGCGGGTTATTGTGAAGCTACTCCCAGAAATAATGTCAATATATCAAACTTTAAAACAGTATGTGCGATAATCTGTTTTGCAGGAATGTAAATTAGTTCTACGAAGCACTCTAAATGTCACTTATCACGTGAAAATAAATGGTTTTGAAAATTAAAAGAAGGTAGTCACAGAAATAATGTCAATGTTTACCTTCAGAACAGTGAAATAATCTGTTTTGCATATAAGCTTACATTTGTAGATCGTTTAGCTGAAGTTGAAATTATAAAAATACCACAAAAAAATATAACCGGAATTTAGGTTAGACCCGCGTATCCGGATATAATTTACCTTTGATATTTCTACTTCAAATAGACGACGATCGATTTAATAAATAGAATTACTTATAGGTGAGGTTAAGGTGTATAAATTTATGCAACTGCAATACTAGTAGTAAGGTTTAAAATCTTATAAACTTTTATTTGAAGCATACTAGCGCTCAAAGATAGCTACAATAAATAAAAAATGAAATGGATAATTTTAGGAAACCTGTCACTGCTAGCAAAGTCTCCTTTACGGTTTTTTTTTGCTAGTCCGTCTTGAAACTCTTCATTGCACGCGGTTCCTTGACGGTACGTATTCGAATTTTCGCCATATTGGGGAGACAACAAGCCAATGAAACTCTGCTATAAGTTTAGAAGTAGTGGGGAATTTTTATGGTGGCGAACTCGCCTAAACTTAAACACCGATTCTTTCTCGAAGGCCGTCCGTCATTTTGTTTTTGTAGTTTCAAAAACTTCTAGTCTGTTGGTCTCCCTACGTGATGGTGAGAAACGACCAATAATCGGTAGTTTGATTCCCCATGTTCACCATGGGCAAAGACCGGTTTTGAGTGACGTTTCATAACTGAGTTGAGCACGCGACCCCCAACAAACCAGCGGTATCGTGATGAACGTAGCATCATAACGAGACTCTCGGGTCAAGCTTCGGATAATTTGCTAAGAAACTTACTACAAATATTCGAGAGATCACTACATTTTGATGGATATCTTTGAAATACAAAGTATTTTGTAGTCTTCCTAACTATGGTCAAACACTATATAGCTTTTGGATGCGTACTGGCATGGGTCTTATTTCATGATCATCAAATAAACTTCAGCGGTATCTTAAAAACAGTACTTCAAAGTAAATATTAAATCCAAGGTCACATTTTTGTGCTGGAAAATAACCAGAAAAGTGTAAAATAAGTGGCTGTTTTGAACGTAATTCGATTGGACGTAAATATTACGTGTTGTTACTTGCCGGTAAGTTGCAATCTTTGTAATCAGAAATTGAATTTTGGAGCACTCCACTAAAAACCTGCAGAAATATGTAACGCATATAAACATATTCTGAAACTCATATTTCATCGGAAAGCCGAAATGGAATATATTGACGCTTTATTTAAACTAGGTCAGTCATGCATTTAAGTTTGATTTAAAAACAAGAGAGTAAAACTGAGGATCAGAAATAATAACGAGCTCGATTCCATCAGTTATAAGTAAAAAAGGATGAAGATGTTGTTCAATCTATACATTTTCTATTATAAATCGTATCAAGCCAGAANGCCCGAGGTTCCTTGACGGTACGTATTCGAATTTTCGCCATATTGGGGAGCCAACAAGCCAATGAAACTCTGCTATAAGTTTAGAAGTAGTGGGGAATTTTTATGGTGGCGAACTCGCCTAAACTCAAACACCGATTCTTCCTCGAAGGCCGTCCGTCATTTTGTTTTTGTAGTTTCAAAAACTAGTCTGTTGGTCTTACTGTGTGATGGTGAGAAACGACCAATAATCGGTAGTTTGATTCCCCATGTTCACCATGGGCAAAGACCGGTTTTGAGTGACGTTCTCAACTACGATAAGAGCTAGTCGAAGATATAGAAGTAAGTTATAGTGCTTGGGAACGAGGTTATTCCGGGCGAAAGCCCTTGGAATTAAATTCGGAAAAATTAATTTCCGACCTCGCTGGGATAAGAGCTGATTGGCGATGGGTAATCAAGATGGCCGCCGAAAAAAGCGAGCGCCGAAAGCGAGGGAGATGACGGAGGCGCTGAGAACGTAACCCGACCAAAATTGCACAACCAAATGTTCTACATTCTTAAAATTTGACCAAATTATATTTAGTTTTGACTAATTCAAGATTTCGAAACTTTAATTTGACTGTATAATGCGAATTTACTGTTTTGAAATACGGGATGATGTCACCGTTGAATCAGTTCATAGTTAATTGATAACTATGATCAGTTGTGGCGTCCATTAGACGTAATACTACAAACATTACTACTGATTGGAATTAAGAATTAAAAATACTTTTATCCTTGATTTTCTCCTTTGACTTATGCCCACGGAAATCAGTACACATGCTCGTAAAGTTTCAGCGACTGATTTTCGTCGTCCCAAGGAGCGCTTGAAACACGAGGTAAATTCGTGTCTAATCATGATAAGTTAGAGTGGCAAGAATATATAAAAGAATATAGACCAAGCTGTGCTTGATAAGTACTTGTAATATACTTACATCCACTGTTAATCCAGAGGAAGATATTCAGAAAAACCATTGTATGCTCCATCATCTTGAGTCTCGGAAGTGAATGGAGTGTCTTTACTAATACTAAGATGTGCATGCGGATGCATCAGCCAATAAAATGCCGTCTTGCGTAGTCATGTGACTTTGAACAATTTTAGGAAATTTGACATACTTCGGCTCACGTGACTAACATAATTTTGCAAGTAAAACTCAGTCTTAAGTTAGTCTATTTTTATATCCTAAAATGTGGTATTTGGCATACTTCACAGGTTGCCTGAATCAAAAGACTTGCATGAAACATTACGTATTTTTAACAAGGAACATCACTATAGTAGCTAGAATTACCAAATTTGTAGTAAGCTCGTTGTTTTATCATGGTAATTAACTTGTTTCTTCAGTTGACTCATGTGTAGGTGTTACAAAGAGCAACAAATAAGGAGCCGGTCATTAAGAATTAGAGATCATGAGATATAGTTCAAATTTGGAGGGAGTTACCGATTAGTCATTATTGTCATTATTTCATTACTGTCATGCAAACTCAAAGGAGAGTCACAAAAATGTGTACAAGCTTTAGAAGGAGTTACTATTTTTTGTGCAATGTCTGAATATTTAATATCGAAACAGAAAAAAACATTGAAAAGTCAGTGTCAGCATGCAGGGCCACACCATACTTCTAGCATATATGGCATAATCGATTATTTTGATCGTGATTTTCTTATTATTTTCTCTCTCAATTTGAAACAGCATCAGTGTCAGTATGACATAGTTAATGTACTGTCTCCTTCGCTTCCATTATCACTGCTTAGCACTTTTTTTCACTGTGGAGTTCATCCTTGAACAATGGCCTGCAACACCTTCCAAAATTATAGGAATTCATTTCCTTTATAGCAGACTGTGCTGCCTTAGTTTGTTTGACAGTTAAATTAAATTGGCATTTCTTTGGAGGGATGCCGACATGTTAGACCTAGTCTAGTTTTGTCTTCAAGTTTATTCTACAAATCGTTATTTATTAGCACTCGTAACTTTCTATGCCTTTTCCGTTGCTGCATGTGTTGAACATTGCTATTGTTTTTTATTATTATTGCTTTATAAAGGTAGCGATTTCATTCTCAGAAATGGTTGTCATATATAGCTTTTAGTATAAGTACTAATTCTTCAGTCCGATAAATGTTGTTGTTATACATTTCTGTCCAGAACTGTGCTTACTGTAAGACCTCAGCTCACCCTAAACATAGTTAGTCTTTTTTTAAATGTTATTGCTGTCTATCTTAAGACTCTTTTAATGCTTTCATACTTTTCTATTAAAGTAAAATCTCTAAGTTTTTCGGTGTTTTTATTAAGATACATGTTTATCCAATAAGAAAATTCTAAAGTTTTAAAAGAAAGAACAAATTATCCCCTCACCTCCCTAGTGAGTGATGAGCACGCAAAGGCTCAAGGGATTTCCCGCCATAGTCCAGTCTGAGCAATCTAGGATTTTAAGACACTGAGGTCCATAAAAACCTTCATCTTTCATCCAAATATATCCACTAAAAGTCCTCAATTCACTCCAAGATAGGTCAATAAGATATATACTTAACTCTAGCAGCTTGAAAAATGGGATTTAATTCCAAGAAGTTTGTGAATTCATGTGATGAAAATATATAATATATGCGAGCAAATCGAGAATAGAGTTGAATATCTCGTCTCAAAAATCACTAAATGTACTCTATTTTTACTATATTCCTAGCCATGGTGTCTTCCAAGACCCTGCGAGTTTGAAAAATGGGCATACTGACAGTCTGCAGTTATAAGCTAGTGTATTGAACTGTGGCTGAAGACGAGCAAGAATTTTCCTTTGGATAAAACTCTGATCACTGACAGCTTGGTTCGTAACTTGACTGTTTATAACATCGTGAATAATCTTTACGTCTACTGTTTGCTCAAGATGAGAAGAATGAGGATAATGGTGAATCAAAAGCAAAGAAAAGAAAAAAAACTTGTAAGTAAGTCTTTCTTTTTCAGTTTGTTTTAAGAGGATTCAATCTAATTCTTAACTGCTAGGTTTGGGGAGGGGGGGGGG